CCCCAAAACCCCAAAACCCCAAAACCCCTTATTTTTCATTAAAAATTGAAAAATATTTAATTGATATTTTCTGAATAATTTAAAATATGCCTCTACATCAATGCTCAGAATACAAGAGGTTCATAAAAATTCTTGAAAGGATTCATACTGCAAAACCAATACCTTTGAACACTTGGAAACCTCATTTCACTCCAGTTAATGCAAGTGTGTCAATCATTTTGAGACTTTACATCCGAGATCATACCAAAAGGCTCAAAAGGTTGAGGACGATCGAGAAGCAGAGGATCCATGGAGACCCGACTCAGCCTCTGCAGTTGACTCCTGACGAGGTAAGAGGACTCTACATTTTAGGTTGACAAATACTTCCAAAGTCAAGACAACTTTGATAAGGCAAATTGAGAAGCCCAAGTGTTTTACATCAAAAGAGGGGATAGTGATGAAGACCGATTCCCTGGCTTGGTAGTATTCCCAGGAGGCAAAGTTGAAGAGGGAGAGAGCTTACTTGAAGGAGCAATTAGAGAAACTCATGAAGAAGTTGGGTTTGATCTTCTTGACTCAAATAACTTTGCATTAATATCTCAATATCCTCTTACCATTCCCTTTACTTTTATGAAGAACCGTTGAAGACTTTTTGCTACTCCTTTTGTGTTTGTTCAACTTTCTTTTGACTGAATAAAGCCAATTCATCACCAAAGAGAAGTTCAATCAAGTGTGTGGACATCGCTTGAGCATCTTGCCATTCACAGTAAGCAATTCTTCTGGTACAGGCCTCAAAGAAACCCAAGATATAAAACTGACTTGACCTTACTAATGCCAACCTTCTTGCTAGTTGATTCAGAAAAATATTCGCAGCAGGATATTTACAATGACCCTTCAGTTGTCAACAAAGATTTCCCGTTAGGAGGAATGACTCTGTATTTGACAAGACATTTCTTAAATTTTACTGGAATGAAGAATATTAGGCCTCATATGGGCTACTACAAGATACAGGAAGTTAAAAATAAAACCTTGTCAGTAATCGCTGGTAAATTCTTCAGTCTCTTTGCTATAAACCCACAATACTACTTTCAAGAAGCATGGAAGGAGTATCAATACTATGTTTATTTATCAAGTGTAGGTCTCGCTACAGCTTATGGAGGATTTAAATGGTTCAAGTCAAAGAATGGTGAAAAACTAAGGAGCTCTAAAATTTAGATTTCAATATTTGCCTGTAAATTCGGGGTTTTGGGGTTTTGGGGTTTTGGGGTTTTGGGG